ATTTTCAATATATCTACACATATAATAAGTCTTCTAAACAAGCAAACATAAAATCAGATAAAATTTAGACTAACAGATTTGAAACATCATTCAGACAACAATTAAAATGTTTTAATTAAAACGTTTTTTATCATAATAAAATCAGCAAGAATTTTTGGTGGGGGCACTGATGAAATTAATTGTAATCTGTGAACAACAAACAATTTAATTGTAAACCGAAATGAATAATGTGTCTTACATTCAGATTGACTTTTGTAAAGTTTTGAGTCTATCTCAAGTTTTGCAACTAGAATTTCACAAATTTGTTGTTTCTATCAATTCTTCATTCCAGAAAAAAAAAAAAAAAAAAAAAAAAAAACCAGGTCACATGCAACTATAAACCTGCAAATGAAAATCAGTCAATTAATAAATTGCTATAAAACAACAAGCAAGCAGTGTAGTGTTTAGTGACTAAAAACAAGAAATTTAGTGAGCCAGGTTCAAATTCCAGACAAGTTCATTACACAGACTTTCATAAAAATGCTTTTGGGAAAGGTATGAGTCTGTCTCTTTTCCCCTCAGCTATGGGTTAAATAACAGGGCAGACTGGGCTCTTTGTGGTCGGCAACTAGTCTAAGAGAAAAACAATTCAAAACCCAGTCACATGAAGCTGTACAAAACTGGTTAGACATGTGATGTAGAAACTATATCTGTAAAACAAAAACACAATATATTTCAATAACTATGGATAATCCCACTGAAGACGGATTATCCAGAATGTTGTTGACTCCAAGTGGCATTTGGGATAATGGATAGATTGATAGGACAAAACAAACATTAACACAATTTCAAATCAGTGGCAATATAATTAGACAATTTTTTTCAAAACATTTATATTTTCTTTGAAAATATTAATTTTTGTAGTATATCAACATCTACATGGAATATATTTGTTTAAATTTGAATTTACAGGCAAAAAATTAAAACAGTTTACACACAAATACGAGGTCTGATCAAGAAGCATCAGAACTGTTGCTAAGATAAATGGAGATCAAATAGTAGAGCTGCTTGGCACAGATTGACTATGAACACTATTGCATATACCCACTAAGTTATGTTCTCACTCACTTTCTTTGGTTATAGCAGTGTGTAGAGCAGGGGTCGGCAACTCATTCGACCCCGTGGGATGGATCGTGTTAGTTATAATGACGGGTTGCAGGCCGGACGAATGCCATTAATGAAAAATTAAGGAAAATTACATATGCAGACCCCTGTCGACCTAAATATTTAAAACCATAATGAAAATAAACATTGAGAAATCAGAAAAACAAAAGAAAATCTAAAATTAAAAAACACCTAACAAAAATTACTTTTCCTCGAGTTGAATATTTTTACGAACCTTGAATTACTTTCCAATCTATCACCAACTGCTTGTATTCTTGTCGTTATATTAAATTCATGTTTATTTGTTGAAACTACGTTGTCTTTTCTACTGAATTTTATTCCTTCAATGAAATCGTGTGATTATTCTAAACAGCCAAATTACAAGCAACCCTGTAACGATATTTTGTTATTGTATGGAATCCCGACACTCCAAATTTTAACATTAAACAAAAAATAAGAGTAGAAGGGTTCCTACAGACCCATACGTATCATAATAGTGATTTTTGCTTTTCGTTCAGTAACAATGAAATAAGGAAATCAAATCTGTAATCACTAAAAATTATTTTTTTGTTTATATCCGGGAATCAAAAATTGCAATATATTTTATATTTTCTGGGTTTACTTTCAATTTTCAAACAAATTACTAAAACGAAACAAAATCTTGAATTTATTTCTTTATGAATAAGTAAATACGAAGAGCACTGATTACATTCATTTGAATTTTATTTCGGTACTTAAAACATTTCTAATTTTATTCAGTTTATTTGCAGAGTAATTAGGCTTTAAAAAGCGTGACATATGGCCCGTGTTGAGCCAGGCTGCATGCAAAATAATCAGTGAAAGACTCCTGTTTGAGAAAAAGAGGGGTATGATAAGATAAGAACATGGCCCATTGAAAGATTTCAGCAACTTACATAAGGTATGTGGCAGGGATAAGCGATGGGGGATCGCTGTTGGAGGAATGAAATAGAAACCCGACTGAGACAACATTGTCTCTTTGAAGCTGTCGCCGGTCAGTCGGTCGGTCAAATCGGCTCTCAGTTTTTGTTTTATGTTTATTTTATTTTTTACACTGAAATGGAGGTGATTGGGTTTTGATTGTGTTTTTGTGGTCTTAGTATTCAAATTCGGTTGGGTGGATAAGAGGAAGTTAACAGCAGGCCTTTTTTCGAATTGGAAAGCCTCATCTCTGATGTTAAAAATAGAGTCATTGGTAATCAGGCTTGCGGGCCGGTCAAAATGCCTTCGTGAGCCGGATCCGGTGCGTGGACCGTAGGTTGCCGACCCTTGGTGTAGAGTGTGCTCATGTCATCCCACACCACAGAGGTTCCATCAGTGAATATGAGCTGAGCAATAGATATTGGTCAAGGGCAACATTCTCCAGGTGCAACAACCACTATATTCCCCAGACCTTCCCCGCCTTGCAACTTTTTCCTCTTTAAAAATTAAATCCCACTTGAAAGGAACAAGATTTCAAGACATCAAGGAAATCCAAAAGAATGAAACAAGGCAACTTATTGCTCTCCCTAAAAAGGAATTCTGGGAATGCTTCCATTAATGGAAATGATGCTGGATAAAGGCAACTACTTGAAACAAGATTAAATGTCAAATTGATATGTTGTAGTTTTCTTTTTATAACACCAGTCCTAATACTTTTTGATCAGGCCCCATACTACATCTGATAGTATTAAGAACTACTTTCAATTGAATTTGTGTAGCAATAAAAGTGCTAAGTTAGATCAGAAGCAAGAATATACCAAACAGAATATAAATGATACCTCATAGAAATACACAAGTAAAACACTTTGAGATTTAAAGAGAATATATGAACATAAAAGTGACTTAAAATTAAACAACACATTCAATGCACTTGTGTGCCACTGAAAAATGCTATGTGTATTAATATGTGCAGAACTAAAGAATAAATACTTCACTCAATTTAAATATTACTAAGTTGTGTCTACGCATAAAAAATATGGGAGTAAATAACACAAATCTCTCTCTCTCTCTCTCTATATATATATATATATATATATATGAAGAGGAGAAATACATTTAAAAAAATGTTAAACTCCCCCAATAGCCTAATTATTTCATGTTCAACACAAAACAAAAAGTAAAGTATTTCAAAATAGGAGACCTTTCTGACAAACACAGCAAATCAAAATATATTTGTTCTATCTACCAAATCTATCACAACTACAATTGAAAGGAATTTATCTAAGCTTAACATAAAATTTGTTACAATAACTAAAACAACAAAAACATTAATACAAAACAAAATATACAAAAGCTATCACCTGTAACAATTGCCTCAAAGAATACTTTGGAAAAACCTCAAGAAATTTAAATAAAAAAAATTATATGAACACAAAAGGGACCTTTTACAAAATAACAAATTCAATGCATTAGTTGCTCACTATAATGAATCTGACCATAATTTCTATTTTGAAAATGCTACTTAATTAAACAAGAAAGAAATTTACTAATCTTTCTTGACAGATCAGTTATCATCACAATGTGGGAAACTTAATAACAAAAGTGATAAAAATATAAACAAAAAAAAAAACGTGAAATTAGCTAAACTATATATCCAAACACCAAAAAAATAAATAAATTTAAAATATGAGGACCCCCTCTCCTTTGTGCACGTATGTAGTTACATCAACATACACATCATACGAATATTTTCCCAGCTTCAACAGAAGTTTACCATTAAATGTTTGTATTTCCTAAAATTAATAAACATTATTTTAATTACTTTTATTAATTGATTGATTACATTGAAGTTTTATTAAGAAATTAAAAGGGCTTTTTAGACACAAGAGAACTCTACGGTCGAAAAGAGAAATCTGAAACATGATAAATGCTGCTAAAAAATTAATAAAACCAATTTCAAAAATCAAAGCATAAGAAGGAATAGGTGGAGGAAACAGAATGTGTTTTGCTTACAGAATTCTTTTTGTTGGCCATAGTCAAATCACAAATAATATTTTAAAATAAATGAATACATTCAGATATAGAGAGGCTAAGAATAGAATAATGAAGATTACCCAGTATCTAAATAAAATCTATGGAAAGTAGGCAATAGACACAACAGTGTGAGGAGGCCAAAATGTAGACCAAGTGTCAAGATCAAAAAGGGGACAGTCTATAATGAACAGCATAACTTAAGTGGGAAAACTGAAATGTATTAATAACCAGGCTATGAAATAGAATTGTGTATACGAGTGATAAGAGTTGGTAATGAATGAAAAAATCAAAAAACATTGATATGGTAACAATTTTCATTGATTCATTCCTTTTGTATGGTTTATCAACCCTTCAGTTATTTAAAGACAGAAAATATTTTTAAAGTGTAAAAGTTTTTTCTTTATTTTTGGAGACAATAATGGTTGAGGGGGAAGTACAGTAACAGAGAGTAGCTCAGATGAAGAAGTCAGAGAACCCAGTTCTAATTCTATTTGAATCCATTACATTCACTTACACGCTAATACCCTTAGGAAAGGTATGACTCTTCTTCTTCTTCACCCAGCTATAGGTAAATAGCAGAACAGACAAGGTTCTATAGCCTTGGATGGCAACTAGTCTACCACAGAAGGAAATGGCAACCTACTGCAGGAAAAAATCTGCATTGTCAGTCATGTATCGAAAAATACATATTCGCCTAAGCGTGTATCACGCATGGCACATAACTGATGAATGGTTTAGTGATAGCTGTGGGATTTATACTTTTCCCAAAAGTATTTACAGATAAATGAATATAACGAACCTAACAAGAATTGGAACTCTGCTCTCTGATTAACAATTCTGAGCCATTATCCATTACACAACCTGCTCATCCAACCTTACAGAATTTGGTATTCTCAAGCAGTCACTCATCTAGATACTGACCAAGCTCAACATTGCTTAACTTCAGTGATCATATGAGAACCAGTGTTTCATTTTTATATGGTAACATGGAGGCACAATAAGAGATAGAAGTAATTTTACTAGTCTTAAGTAAAGGCATGGTTATGGCTCAACAGCTCACCAGTGGGGAAAATAATTTGCAAGGGTTTAGTTCAGTGTAAGCAAAGGTTACTAAGAGTTATAAAAAGTGATTACTATCAAACTCTCTACTTTCAAGAACAATTATAATTCACTAAAAGAATTGTGTTGGATATGTCACTTATTAAAAAGATGCAAACACCATTACCAACATTACAGTTTGCCTACATCATCTAGAAAATGCTGCCTATGACAATGCCTCTAAAACTGATTTCATAGACTTAAAAGCTCAATACAAACTCAGGAGAATCAATAAAATTTATTGAATCTTTTATATACCATATATGGTGGCGTAAGATCAGGATTGTCATATATTGAGTATGCTGATGACCTATCTGTCACTGGAGACTGTCATTACCAATGTCACAGTTTGCCTACATCATCTAGAAAATGCTGCTAATGATATTCGACTCTATGTCAGTTCCTCTAAAACTGAATTCATAGGCTTCAACCAACAAGACTCAATACAAACCATTTCAGAAGAATCAATATAACCTGACAAATATTTTACACACATAAGAAGTGAGATAAATTCTACTAAAAAAGATGTGAAAATTTGCATAGCTAAAGCCTGGGCCACCTTCAACAAAATGATTATAATCTGGAAATCTGATCTATCAGAAAACCTCAAATGGAGATTCTTTTGAGCCACTGTAGAGTCAGTGTTAATTTATGATGTCACTGCCTGGACATTAACTAAAACCCTAGAGTCTAAGCTTGAAGTTGAAAGCTATACTTAACATTGGGAGATAACATTCATCTAAATCACTAGTCTATAGACACATCTCTGATATTTCTACAATCTTACACAAATACAGAATACATTTTTGCAGGACACTGCTGGCAAGCAAAACAAGAAGTCAGGAGTGATCTACTGCTCTGGACACCTAACCATGGAGCAAGACGGGCTGGTCACCCAGCAACCACCTCCATTGACCAGATATGTTATAAATAAGAATGCCATCTTAATGACCTACCGACCTTTATACAGGACTGTGACAGTTGGTGGGATAGACTTATGAATGTCTGAGATAATCTTACTTATTATAAAATGCAGATTGTGTGTGTGTGTGTCTGTTCGTTTATATATTGGATCGGATTTCCTACATTTTTCAACCGATTTCAACAAAACTTCACAGGACTACATAAAATGACCTTGCGGTGGTTCTAACAGTGCCAAATATTGGAAAAACACAATTGTTTTTGCATGAAATCAATTTGAAAGCAAAGTTAAGTGTATCGCACCCAGCCGGAAGTTACTGCCGGCTACTCAAACATCCGAATGCCATTAACTTCCAGTGATTCAGCATTTTTTTTTTCAGAGAACGATACACAAAAAGTAAACGGATGAAATCTAAACATACACAAGTCCTCCTAACTAAAAATAATAACCGGAAACTACTTTAAATACACATGGTGTCCAAATATTTTTATTGTATTCAATAAGTTAAAATCATAAATTGTAAAAGATTACAGAAAGGCTACTAAATGAATACGATTTGTTAGATCATCTTACTTATTATAAAATGCAGATTGTGTGTGTGTGTGTGTGTGTCTGTACGTTTATATATTGGATCGGATTTCCTATATTTTTCAACCGATTTCAACAAAACTTCACAGGACTACGTAAAATTAGCTTGCGGTGGTTCTGACAGCACCAAAAATGGGAAAAACACAATTGTTTTTGCACAAAATCAATTTGAAAACACAATTAAGAGGCATCACAAGAATGAAAGGGGACAACTCATATAAAGTTATACTTATTATAAAACCCAGGTTGTTTGTGTGTGTGTGTGTGTGTGTGTGTTTGTTTATATATGGAATCGGATTTTACATTTTTCAACCCATTTCAACAAAACTTCACTTTTTTTTTTTTTTGGCAGGTTGTGTTTCTTATTGTCTTGCACACTTTTTTCTTTATTTTTACATTCAGAATGCTTTAAAAATTCCATTTACAAAACAATTGTTTATAATAAAATTCTATTCAATCGGTAGACTCATAACGAAAACAATGTTTTTGTTTGAGTTTGACCAATTCGTAAAAAAAAAAAAAAAAAAAAAAAGAAAAAACTAATTAAGACATACGTGTCCGTCAACCTTAAACAATAATGTTTGTCAATTTTATTTTTCAGTCTTTATGATGGTCGATACTTGATCTATATCTTATTGTTACATCCCCAGGCAACGCCGGGCTCTACTGCTAGTTTAATAATAAAAATAAAGTATTAGACATAATGTACAGCACTTAACTGTGTAAATACACATAAGAGATTTATTTGCAGAATGACATGCAAGTATTTTCAAACTTTCCTTTTTGCTGACTGACAGAAAATAAAAATGAAGACATGGAATAAATAAAGGAATATACAACAATGTAACATACATTTATTAAGTGAATGGACAAATAAAAAGATTCCTAAATTAATTAAATTAAAAAGCAAGCAATTAAATTTCATGCAATTTGGAACAGGAAGTTGTAAACATTAATGTTCATAGTCAAGGTTCAATCTTCTGGTTTTCTTCTGAATAAAAAAAAAAATACAATGCAAATACTCAACAAGTTCAAACACTGAAAGCATAATTATTCAAAAATATCATTGCAAATGTAATATTAAGTAACACAGTCCTGCAAGTTGCTGTTCTTTGAAAAATTGTTGTGTCTAATGTGGGTGAATTTGCCAGACAAAAGTAATTTAAAGTTTTACAGGTTACGAAAAGCAAAAGTATTAAGTGTTAAAAGTCCATGTCAAATAAGCATGGAAGTCTCTTGTTCATGTCTATTTATAGGCAAATTGTGGACACAAGAGAAAAAAACAAGTTTTAGCAAAAAGGAAGTTGTTTGGTTTTATTTTGGGGAATTGTGTAACTCAATTACATGACATAACACTTGATATCAAACAGAAATACATCTTCCCATTCAATGGAGTGTGAATTTCAAAGTTCATAATTAAACTAGGAGTGAACGAGACAAAAATAAGTATAGAAAAAAGAAATTCATCTGTCAAGTCAGATCATTAACGAGGTCACATAGGAAAAATTCAAACTAAAATTCTTAAGTAAAAAGAATCAAAATGTGTATAATTATAGACAGGGGTTTTAGGGCAGCACACTTCCATATGAATCATCAATTATTAGTTGACTTTTTTTTTTTTGTTTAACAGCAAATCAAATTAATGCCAAAATCTAAACATTATGTATGCAATTTTATTTCATTTTTGAGAGATAATGATTTAGTGATACACGTCTTACTAATTAACCCATAGTTGTGGGGGGGGAAGAGGTGAATTCATACTTTTCCCAAGGGTAGTTGCATGTAAGTGAATATAATGAACCCAACTGGAATTGAAACTTGTCTATTTAATCAACAATTCCAAGCCATTATTCATTACAACACCTGCACATACAAGCTTACAGCACCAAGTATTCCGAAGCAGTCACCCATCTTAGTACTGACCAAGCTCGATATTGCTTAACTTTGTACAAGAACCAGTGTAAGCCATCAAGTATTAAAGAGCATATTTAATAAATGATGGTTTAATAAAACTTTTTTCTTTTTTGTTTTTTTTTTATCCTTGGGTAGGAGGCATAGGGGATTCTAATTTTTTTTTTTTTTTAATATAAAAATGATTTGATGAACCAACACTAAAATTGACTAACAGATTTTATATTTGGGTGAACAAGAGTTTTCATTTTTTTAAATGAATCATGACGAAATCAAAGCAAGAAAGACATCCAACTGGTTAGACGGATGATTATATAGTTAGCTAGTGATCAATAGATCAGGTCAGGGGTGCATGTGGTTGAAGAGAACAATAAAATTTAATGCTCAACACAGGGAGTGAACTGACAACGTTCAGTCAACCAGCCACAGATTTCTGCTTTTAACATTGATGTCACCCCTATTGACTGGAATAAGATCATCCAGTGGTGATATATAAAAGCCAATGCTTTTTTCTCTCTAGTGAACAGTTTTTGTCTATTGCCTGAAGAACTTTTGTCAATCAGGATTTTTACCAGTTGCTCGATTGCTGAGAGAGTCTAGTGGGAAGACAAGTAAAGAAAAAATTTAAACTACAGTTTGATTTTTTTTTTTTTTTTTTGTTTAAATAAATATCAATGTTATAAATATATATTTTAATTCTGTTGCAGATAACAAAACAGAAAAGACAAAATATTCTTTTCAAGATCACAGATGTTAAACAAAAGAGATTTGGGTCATTTTTTTTTTTTTTTTAGTACTCTTCAATTCCAGTCACTGGAGTTTTATTGTTTTTTAAATTGGTAGGCAGTAAAGCCACTAAGACACAAGGGGGTTACAGGGTGTGGAAGAATTAGGAATAGAAACATTAATAATGAACCAGAAAAGAAAAGAGTAGTCAAGGGGATAGTAGATAGCAATTGATATTGGATTTAAATTTTTGCAGATTAAAGTTGAGTGGAAAGCATTGAGCCAGAAGGGAGTTCCACAAGTGAGAAATGTGAGAAAAGAAATTGTTAGCAAAGAAGTTATGGTTACATCTAGTCAACACAACTGTGAATTGATGAGATCTTGCCATCAGTCTAGTACTGCACTTAAATTCAAGAGGTCTAGGTGCCATAGCGAAGAGCTCATCCAATCATTAAAGTATTTATAGAAAAGACACCGAGAAGTAGCCTTATGGCGGTGGGAAAGGGAGTGAAGCCGAGACAGCAGATCAGGGCCATTAATATTGCTGATTCTTCTCTGGATCATATCAAGGAGCTCCCGGTAAATAGCAGGGGCACCAGACCATATGTGGCATCAATATTCTAAGCATGTACAAGTGATAAACTTATAGATATGCAAGACAGATTCTGGAGAAAAACATTGTCTCGCATGACACAGTGAACCAACTTTCTTAGCAGCTGACCTAGC